AGGCGGGGCCCCCACCCGCAGGTGGCTTCAGGGTGTCTGAGCTGCTCACATACATCCCTCAGCTGTTCCCTGGGCTGGGAGTGCCCTCCCCAAGGCTGCCCCCAGCCTCCTCCAAACGCTGATGCTTCAGCGAGCCTCTCCCTCCTCTCTGCCGCCTCCAGCACCGGCTGGGCCACCCAGCTCGGGGTCTGGTGCCTGGGGCCCCTTCCTTGATGGGAAATCCTCCAGGGAGGTGGAGGTGTTTCACCTTGGCCTGTCCCAGGCCAGACCCAGAGCAGCCTCTCAGTGCTGCTGAGCTGGTGAAACACAGGCCCGTGGTGCTTGTGCACGAAACAGACCTAGGTCTGCTCTTAGGGAGCACACAGCTTCCCCGGAGAAAAAGACAGAAACAGAACAGAAGAAATTCAGGGGCCCGGGGGAGCTCCTGCAAGACATCTGGTCTAAACGAGGGGCCCAGAGAGACTCCCATGGAGAGGACAGAAAACCCTGCTGGGCAGATAGGCCAAGACCAGATGCTGCTGGGGCCTGTGGACAGCCTGATAGGATGGAAAGTATACCCGGAGTGAGACTTAAATTGGGGGAAGTGACTCAGCCGCCTTCCTCAGCCTTCCAAGGCTTCCGACTGCCTGGGCCCTGTCGAGGACTTCAGGGCTGGTGTTGAGCTGCTTGGGCAGGGTCGCCACGTACCGTTGGGCGGGTTAGACACTGCACAAAACTGCCTGAGCCAGGAGGGAGGGGCTGGGGACTCCTGCACCTGAGCTCCCCTCAAGCCGGATTCCTTGGTGCAGAGCTGTGTTCGCTCAAGAGAAGGAGCCTCTGCAGTCACACGGAGCGACGTGCGCGCTGGGAGACGGCCTGGGCGTTACACGCGAGAGCACTTCCACGGGCCCAAGCCTTCCTGCTGTCCGGCTCTCCGTCCGCATCACTGACTGGGACACGGGGACCCACATCGCAGGGGGGATTTAGGGAAGCAGATACCAGAAAGCTGGGACACCCCATGGGCGCCGCTGGACAGAGTCCACTAGGACGTGTCGCTGATGGCCGGCGGCCGTGGGGCCCCCTCAGCTAATGTAGCAATTTGTCATATTAAGTCATTCCCTAGCAATGGAGTCCCCCTTGATTAATCTCCCAGAATTAGCCAGTTGCATTTCGAGCAATTAGGGTTAATTACAGCCTCATTTGGCAGAGGAGAGAGCCCCGTAATTATTTCACGAACAAGGCAAGGGCGGTGGGCTGTGGTGCCGCGCGTCCTTGGCGTTTGTCACACGTGTTGGAGTGGGTGACGACACAGTGAAGTGTCATCAGACACGGTGACTCGGTGCTGGGCAGCGCCTGTTGGTGAAGCTGTCCCTTGCCCCACCAGCGTCTGGCTGGTTTTGCAGAACTGGGAAGAGCAGCATTGACCCGAGACTGCTGCGGCTCGGACTGGGAGTGACTCTTCCTTCCCAGTGGTATTTGAAGACCATCTGGGGAGACAGCCCAGTCCAGATCTTGCTTGTTTCAGGATATAGAAACACCTCAGACTGAGGACAGAGGCATTTTCCTCTTTATGGCAGGATATTGCTGCCTCCCTGAAACCTTCCTGCAGGTAGAGCCATCCTGTGCTGTGGACAGACTGGCTCAGGGTGCTGTTCCACCCCTCCCTCCAGGGGACACTGGTCCTCAGTTTCCTCATCTGTCAAATGGGGCCATGAAGGTAAAAGGCAACATGGCACCAATATCATGGGTGTGAAGCAAACAGCTTGCCATTTATCTTACTCTTTTCTTTTTAAAGGTTTTATTTATTTGTGCATACAGAAATGGGGGTACCGGCCAGAGGTGCAGGGGCGGCGAGAGGACTCACCAGAAACAGAGTGGGGAGCAGAACAGGCAGATCGACAAAGTACACCGCTGAGGGGAGCAGCGGGCAGGTCAGGCAAGGTCTGCCACGCCATGTGGGTCACTCCCTGGCTGGGGATCAAACTCGCACTGAAGCGCACTGGGCTTGGCTTAGCTTCACAGTGCAGCGCTCCAACCCGCTGCGCCACCAGGAAGGGCCCGACTCTTATATTTGCAAATCTGTTTTCTTTTCACCGTGCAGAAAGAACAACTAAGCAAACCCTTGGATTCAGGGTCTGTTACCAGGATCTGAGCCCAGGGCTAGCGGTTTGATGATTTCAGGGAACCATCTCGCTTTGGGAGATGTGGACATAGGAAACATGTTTGTTGAATCCAGCAGGATCATAGGTGAAACTCGTGTGTACTTGGAACGGCCGAACATCCCTGCTTTTATTGAGATTTCTAATGAACAGATGACGGTGAGAACCGTTCTGAGAGTGTCCCAGTGTTTTGTTTTGTTTTTTAAAATTTATTTATTTGTGCATACAGAACTGGGGTACAGGCCAGAGGCTCAGGGGCGGTGAGAGGCTTCACCAGAGACAGAGTGGGGAGCAGAACAGGCAGATCAATGAAGTACACTGCCGAGGGGAGCAGCGGGAGGGTCAGGAGAGGTCTGCCACGCCATGTGGTCACCTCCGGGGCAGGCGGGGATCGAACTCATGCAGAAGTGGCTTTAGCTTCTCAGTGCTGTGCTTTAACCCGTTGTGCCACCAGGGAGGGCCATGTCCCAGTGTTTTACGAGCATTTCCAGGGGGAATGAGACACAGGACTCGGCGGGTCCTGTAAAGCCTCGCACCACCCAGGAGGAAAAGGTGCTCTTGTCTGAGAAAGCCCTGGCTGATGTATCTTCCACCTGGAAGGTCTTGCAGACCTGCTCGCCACAGACCGAGTCCACATGTATTCAGCTCTGTTCTGAGAGAGGAGCATGTGGGGACAGGAACCTGCAGCTTACTGGACAGAATCTTCCTTCCCAAAGCAGCGGTGGTAGTGAGATAAGAGTTAAGGACCACATATTAGCAGCCATTAAAATTCAAGAAGTGCTTGCAACATTAGTTATAAATTCAACAAGTCTTTGTCTCGAGGCTGCTGGGAGCCCGCATGATGTGCTCAGAGGCTGAGGGGCCCAGGGACAGGGAGCAGAGGGTGCTCCAGCCCCCAGGCCCCGTCGGGTGAGAAGGCGATTGAGGACCGTGGGGTGGCTGGCACGAAAGGCCTGGAATCCCGCAACCTGTACGTGTCATCTGGAATTGAATCGGTAGCCAACGGGGGACCCCAAAGTAGGCTTTAAGTTGGCAAGGGAGGCCCTCCCTGGTGGCGCAGTGGGTTAAAGCACAGCACTGAGAATCTAAAGCCGCTTCCGCATGAGTTCGATTCCCGCCTACCCTGGAGGTGACCACATGGCGTGGCAGACCTCTCCTGACCCGCCCACTGCTCCCCTCAGCAGTGTACTTCATCGATCTGCCTGCTCTGCTCCCCACTCTGTCTCTGGTGAAGCCTCTCACCGCCCCTGAGCCTCTGGCCTGTACCCCAGTTCTGTATGCACAAATAAATAAATCTTTAAGTTGGCAAGGGAATCAGATTGTAGAAAGCTCACAGATATCTGAGCTTGAGGCACCAGGAAGACAAGAGATAAGGAGGCATCTTCCTGCAGCCTTAACTGACCCACACAGGGAGGGAGAATTCCAGAGACATAGCCGTGATATCTGCTCTCTCACGGGGTGACGCACACCGTGGGTGCCCAGGAAATGCTCACTGCTCTCCTGAGGTGCGTAGGTTAACTGGGGTTACCGAGACCTTACCTGGCCCCTGTGGCCTCACCTGCAGGCTTAGCCGTGGGCCCAGCGCGGGTGTGGAAACCCACGGCCTTGTAACTGGAGGGACAGAGGAACAGGCGGTGAAGCCCACGCCCGGCCTCCGGTGAGCGGCTCAGCCTCTGAACACCTATCCCCTTCCAGCCTGTGCGTGTTCCTGGGTGGGCCCAGATCGTCTAATGCACAGGTTCAAACTCAGCTTTCTCGCACCTCGATTTATGAGAACCGTCCTGGGGAAACCACTGGAGTGGAGGTGATTTTAGGTTTTGCGACCAGCGGGGGTTGGGGGGCTCTCATCACGCTTGGGGCGTCCCACCAGGGAGCAGCGTGCAGACCCCTGAGCTGAGACACAGGGCGGTAGAGGCACCCTCAGTGAGGCAGCCCAGAGACACCCCCTTCTCCAGCACACCTCATCGGAGGGGAGGGAGCTGACATAAGTAGCTTGTCCACTCTGCTCTCCAGGCCCCTGTACCTTCTCCCGCGAGAGGGAAGATTGACTTTTGGCTTGAAATTAGCCGGGTCGCGAGGAGCTGAACAGGGTTGACCTCACGGAGCGTCTGACGAGAGGGGCCCTCTGTAAAGCGAGCCCTCCTGTGCCACGCGGATTGAGGACACACTGCTATATACACATATCCAGAATCCATTAGAGCTCCCCTGCATTCGTGTCAGATGTCCTTAAAGGTGAAATTCGTTTACAGGAAATGTCATTCTGATGAAGTGTGCTTTTTAAAAATCATAGGAACGGTTGCCTTAAAATTAATGATGCATTGCAAATATCAGGGAGAAAAGACCCATCCAGTGTAAAGATGATTAAAATTCAGGTCAGAAGTCTGACTTAGTCAGGCTAAATTTTTTAATGAGATTTCAGAAAATTAATTGGGCGAATGCATTTTTATTCTTTTAACATGTAATTCTGTGCTCCTGTTTAAAGAGGGGGTTGTCAATGGCTGAGGCTTTATTGTGGTTCAAGCATTTTCAACACGAATTAGCACAGGGTGGAGGGTGTTTGTGGCCTAAGTTGATCGGCCTGGGAGGAGAGAGCTGGGTTTTTCTGCGCTTCCGGGGGTGGGTGTCCTAGGGTGGTCCAAGATGCGCCCTCCCCCCTGCCCACGTGACGGGCCACCCTTACGGAGGGCGGCCTCTTCCAGATGCCCAAGGTGAGGCCCTCAGCACCAGGACAGGTGCACCTGGAGCCCCCCTGTCAGGACAGGGCTGGGGGGCTGAAGCAGGGTCCTAGAGAAAAGTCGAGGAAGATTCCGAGTGGGGAGGCTTCACGGTGCTGCACAAAAAGGCGGGCTTTGGAGCCCCGATCCTGAGTCCAGTCCCAGCTCTGCCATTGCTGGTCACAGCCTCAGTTTCCAAAAGTGGGCATGGCGGTGATACCTGCTCTCTCACGGGGTCACGCACACCCCACGCTCACTGCTCTCCTGAGGTGCGTAAGGTAACTGGGGTTACCGAGACCTTACCTGGTCCCTGTGGCCTCACCTGCAGGCTTAGCCGTGGGCCCAGTGCAGGTGTGGGAGAGTCGGCGTGAGGCTCTGGGTTCTTCCTGTCACATAAATCATCTAGCACATGGACTCTGAATGTCAGGCCCTGGGTTTGGTTTTTGTTTTTTGTTTTTAAACATTTATTTTTATGTATTTATGCATGCAAGAGCTGGCGTGTAGGCCAGAAGTGGGGGGTTGAAGGGACTCGCCAGAGACAGAGAGGGGAGCACAACAGGCAGATGAGCTGAAACACACTGCTGAGGGGAGCAGCGGGGAGACAGGAGAGGTCTGCAGCGCCATGTGGGTCACCTCCGGGGGGCCGGGGATGGAACTCATGCTGCAGTGGCTGGTGATAGCTTGGCAGTGCTGAGACTTAACCCCTGTGCCCGCCAAAGGTATTTTTATTTATTTATTTGTTTCTTTTTATTTTTTTATTATATAACAGTTTATTTTTACATCATTTTGTACATATTTTTTTCCATCTCAATTGTGATCCCTGCGGGTTTCCCATCACCATGTCACCCATGTGCCATCACCATAATCCTGTGCACTTCCCTCCCCATCCCCCTGTTTTTGATCCCATTCCCCACTGCACCCCCGCAAAATATCTCTGGTATATGGTTGTTCATTATTTTTGTTATTTTCTCGCCTGGTCCATTATACTCCTGCTATGAGTGAAACCATCCGGTATCCGCCAAAGGTATTTTTATTTATTTATTTGTTTCTTTTTATTTTTTTATTATATAACAGTTTATTTTTACATCATTTTGTACATATTTTTTTCCATCTCAATTGTGATCCCTGCGGGTTTCCCATCACCATGTCACCCATGTGCCATCCCCATAATCCTGTGCACTTCCCTCCCCATCCCCCTGTTTTTGATCCCATTCTCCACTCCACCCCCGCAGAATGTCTCTGGTATATGGTTGTTCATTATTTTTGTTATTTTCTCGCCTGGTCCATTATACTCCTGCTATGAGTGAAACCATCCGGTATTTTTCTTTCTCTTTCTGGCTTATCTCACTAAGCATGATCTTTTCCAGCTCCATCCAAGTTGCTGCAAAAGACATGTGTTTCTCTTTTTTGGTTGCTGAGTAATATTCCATTGTATATATGTACCACATCTTTCTAATCCAGTCATCTACTTTTGGGCATTTGGGCTGCTTCCATGTTTTTCCAATTGTAAATAAAGCAGCAATAAACATGGGGGTACAAGTATCTTTTTCAATCAGTGTTTTTGTGTCTTTTGGGTAGATACCTAGGAGTGGGATTGCTGGGTCATAGGGAAGCTCCATGTTTAGCAGTTTGAGGAACCTCCAAACAGTTTTCCATAGTGGTTGTACTAGTTTGCATTCCCACCAGCAATGCAGGAGAGTTCCTTTTTCTCCACATCCTCGCCAACATTTGTTGTTGCTAGTTGTTTGAAGATGTGCCATTCTCACTGGGGTGAGGTGGTATCTCATTGTGGTTTTAATTTGCATCTCCCTTATTACGAGTGATGTTGAACATTTTTTCATATGCCTGTTGGCCATCTGCATTTCCTCTTTGGAGAAGTGTCTTTTTAGCTCTACTGCCCATTTTTTGATGGGGTTGTTTACTTCATTTTTGTTGAGTTTCATCAGTTCTCCGTATATTTTTGTGATCAGTCCTTTATCGCTACTTTTGTGTGAGAAAATGTTTTCCCAATTAGTGTTCTTTCTGTTTGTTTTTAGTAATGTCTCTTTTGCTGTACAGAAGCTCTTTAACTTGATATAGTCCCATCTATTTATCTTTGCCTTCACTATTGTGGCGTTGGGTGCTCTGTCTTTAAAGATGTCGCTAAAGTGTATGTCGTGAAGTGTTTGACCCATCTTTGCTTCTAGGTATTTTATGGTTTCCGTTCTTATGTCTAGGTCTTTAATCCACTTCGAGTTGATTTTTGTGACTGGAGTGGGGCAATGATCTAGTTTCATTTTTTTGCATGTAGCTACCCAGTTTTCCCAGCACCACTTGCTGAACAAATTTTCTTTGTTCCATTGTATCTTCTTTGCTCCTTTGTCAAAAATTAGGTGTCCATAAACTCGTGGGTTTATATGTGGGTTTTCTATTCGAATCCACTGGTCTGTATGTCTATTCTTTTTCCAGTACCATGCAGTTTTGATTATTATGGCTTTGTAGTACAGCTTGAAGTTTGGGATTGTAATGCCTCCATTTTGATTTTTCTTAGACATGAGGGTTTTGGCTATTCGAGGTTTTTTGTTGTTCCATATGAATCTCATCAACATTTTTTCTATTTCATTGAAGAATGTCATTGAGATTTTTATGGGGATGGCATTAAATCTGTATATTGCTTTTCCGCCAAAGGTATTTTTAAGCCTGGTTTTCTCCTCTGATCTGAGAACACCGTCCCAGAAGGGGAAGCTGCCACTTACTGTGACGACTAACAGGGTTTGGCTGGGGGTGGGGACACATGCAGGCATGCGGGACCATCGAGGGACAGACAATGCAGCGGTGAGGGCGCGGGGGGAGGTGCGGGGGGGCAGCCTCCCTGGTGCCCTCTCTGCAGAGCCGGAGTCCTCTGGGTTACACACGGAAAAGGTGTGGAAAAGCCCCCAACCCCCACTGGGGCCTTGGAGGCCCCGAGAGGGGGGCAGGCCAGCAGAGTCCCTCCTTTACCCTCAGGGGTGCTGCTGAAGACGTGGGGTCCCAGCCCTCCCATCCAGCCTGACGCCCCAGACACCCCTCTGTTGCTCCCTCCAGAGGCACCCGAATGCCCTGTCCTTTCGCTGCTCGCTGGCTGACTTCCAGATTGAGAAGAAGATCGGCCGAGGGCAATTCAGCGAGGTGTACAAGGCCACCTGCCTGCTGGACAGGAAGACGGTGGCGCTGAAGAAGGTGCAGGTGAGCCCAGGGGACCGGAGGGGCCCAGCCGCGCCCCTGCAGCCAGCTCCCCCAAGTCGGTGCTCCTGGGTCCACCGCCCCGTCCCTCCCCCTCCTCCCTGGAAGGAGGGAAGTTAGTACCCGATTGAGGTGCAGCGAGAATCAGGTGAACTCCGACTGCAAAAACTCGGAAGTCTAAAGGAATGGAAGATGACCATGCACTGAGCGCTTGCACTGAGCGCCTGCTGTATACCAGCTCCTGGCAGCAGCGTGTGGGGAGGGATGATCACCCCATCTTTCAAATGAGGAAAAGGGTGCAGAGTCGCAAGCAGAGGACCACGGTCACAGCTGAGACACAGACCCACGAGCTGACGACCCTGGTGTCCGCCTCACTGGCCGGTCCTGGGCTCGAGTGACCTTCCCAGCTGCTGTCCGTCCTCAGCGGCTTCAAAGCAGCCACACCCAGCCGGACACCTGCAGGCCAGGTTGCAGGCACCGGCTTTCAGTCTGCCTCGTTCTCCTGAGCCCTCATCCGCCACCACTTTCCTGGCCGCGGTCTACCCTGTCAGTCGGGGACGTTAACTCCTGCCCCGGGATCCTGCAGAGTGGGGAGCCGGGCAGGCGGAGACCCCCGTGGGGGGACCCACTGCCCTGAGGGGGCAGGAGAGCCAGCCCCCGTCCTGGTGGTTCCATGGGGTGCTGGTTTTAACCCCCCGATTTCTCTCTTGTCCCCTGACCCAAGATATTCGAGATGATGGACGCCAAGGCCAGGCAGGACTGTGTCAAGGAGATCGGCCTTCTGAAGGTAAGTGTCCTGAGCCCCCAGCCACATCCCTGCTGTCACAGCCCAGACCTGTGGGTTCGGGGTGCCGCGACTTCGCCCTGAACCTCAGTTTGCCGTTTGTTCAGTAGGAAGAACGCCTGTCAGGATAGGGGTATTCTGAGGGAATTCAATATGGTATCTGAAGAGGCTGTTCCCTTGGGGTGTCCTCCTTGCCCATGAGAGAGAACTTGCTCAGCATTTCTATAAAGTGGGGCTGCTGGGGGCAGCGGCACCCCCGAAGCCCAGCTGGGGAATGTCAACTTAGGAGTTTGTTCTCCAGGTCTCTGCCTTCGGGGACTCCTCGTCATGGGGATACAGGCAGCAGGTGGGGCGAGCTGGGCCCTCTGGGCAGGGGTGTTCTGTGCCCCTCCACCCCCGGCTCTGTGCCCAGGGGCCTGGAACATGGGCTTCAGCTGCAGAAACAACCCTCTCACTGGCCTTGTGGCCATGGGCAGGCCCCTGACTGTTGGGGCCTCCGTTTGTTGGCTAGTAAAGGGGGTGATGGCCGCTGTGCTGTCTGCAGAGGGCTGGGGGGTCAGCAGACGCGCTGGAAGGACGCTCAGCGGCACCCGGAGTGTGGAACTGCCCCTCGGAGCCTGTTCTCCACGCTGCTGCCTCGCTGGCAGCACCAGCCCCTCTCCAGAAGGTCTGTCCGGCCTCCCCGCCTGCCAGGGGAAGTCACCAGGATGGGCCAGGGCACGGGGCGTTTCCTACAAAACAAGGGGAGCATGGGTCCCAGAGGGGCCGCAGGCAGACGCGACCCCCAGCGCCTCCCAGAGCAGAGGCTGGCAGCGGAGACAGGGAGGCGGCCCCACGCATGACACCCAGGTGGTAGGTGCCAGGTGGCTTCCCCACGTAGCAGGCCGGCCGGGCGGCCACGCTGGCCATTGCCCAGGCACCCACCTCTCAGCAGCGGCCAGCGCCCACGAAGGGCTGCCAGCCGGGGCCAGCGTGGGCAGGTGCGGGGCCGGGCCCTCTCTCATCAGCTCTGCCCCTTCCTTCTGGGCAGCAACTGAACCATCCAAACATCATCAAGTATTTGGACTCATTCATCGAGGACAACGAGCTCAACATCGTGCTGGAGCTGGCTGACGCGGGCGACCTCTCCCAGATGATCAAGGTGAGGCGTCCGGCGGGGCCAGAGGCCGCCAGGGCCAGGCAGCGCCTCCCCAGCCTCCAGGCCTCAGCCCTGGCCTGGCAGGGGCCCTGCTGGCCTGTCCCCGTGGGTGTTGCCAGACTTTTTTCTTCCCATTAGCCTCAGGGGAGCTCTGAGAGCCAAGGGGCACAGACCAAGACGAAGGTGATGCCTGGACAGGCCCAGGCTGGGACAGAGTCAGCTATGGACGGAAAGGGCCCCCCAGCCCTGGCCCTCCGCCCCGGCCTGCCCACGGGCTCAGGGTCACCTCTCGTGCCTCACAGAGGAGGCGAGTAGAAGCCCATGTCGGCAGACCCCACTCACGGAATCTGGGGCAGTGTCTTGGGGGTCCCGCCGCCTCTTTTTACAGGAAGGAAACAGCCCAGGCTAAGAGACTTGCCTGGGGACACCCAGCAGTGGGGGACCGAGCCACACCGTGGCCCAGGTCTGCCCTGGGCAGTGACGCTTCAGTGGGCTTCGCCCCCCGACGGTCTCCCTGAGGCCCCTGCCCCCAAGGGTGTTTTCGTCTCCGGGGTGGGTCTCCGAGACGCTCAGCAGCCCACTAAGCCCCCCGCTGGCAGGCCCAGCCCCCTGTCTAGCTCTGCGTCCCACGCCGCCCTGCTCCCCTCAACTCCTGGGGCCTGGACCAGGCCCACCATCCCTGGGCTCAGGGGAGCCTCAGCTCCCTCCATGGAGCATCTGTGTGGGCTGAGCATCTGCTGAGCCCACGGCGGCTCCCCCATCGCCATCACGGCGTCCTCAGGTGGGAAGGCTCAGCCTGGTCTGTTCACCTGCTGAGGCAGCTCAGCCTCCACGTGGGACTCCAGGCCGCCCGCGCCCTGCCCCTTCCGCGAGACCCTCTCCCTGCCGGCTGGCACCCCCGGGCTGCCCTGCCCAGCGTGTCTGCCCCCGCGCCCCGCCCTGCTCCCAGCAGGCTTGCAGACGAGCCAGCCCAGACTCTCTGCTTCCCACCAGACACCAGGGATTGAGCACTTGCTCGGTGCTTGCTCTTCTGAAATTTGGCTCCTAGGAATACAGGCGTCGCTGGGAAGCCGCATTACTTGAGCTGTTATCACCTGCTTTTATTTTTTCGTTGACATATTAATGTGTTTGCAGGGATGTTAATCTCCACACAGATCCCTGGTGGGAACAGATGTGCTATATCATGTCTCGGTTCTTCCTCCCCCCGCCCCCCACTTTGTTTCTCCTTCGTGTTTTTTCTCTCACTGAACACGCACGCCGCCAGCACCCAATGTGTGCCAACCGTCTGCACCCAGACCTAGGGTACCGCCAGCATGGGACGGCCCTTGGGGGGCTCGCCGTGAACTGCAGCAAGCCAAGTTCATGGCCAGTGGAAGCCAGAGAAGGCTTCCTGGAGGAGGTGGCCCTTGAGCTGAGCCCTGAAGGGAGATAGAACATTAACGCAGGAGCTCAGGAGGCTGTGAACGCTGGGGATGTGCAAAGTACTTTAGCCCAGACGGCACTGTGTGAGGTGGGAGACAGAGGGGTGGGGGGCGGCCCTGGCAGACAGGGCTCCTGTTCCCAGCGCGGGCCTGGGGACTTTGTCCCAAGGTCAGCGAGAGGCTCTCTAAGGCTCATGGCAGGGAGTGAGCCCGGCTCTGAAAGGAAGACTGGGCACCCGGCCTGGTGCCCTTCCTCTTGGGGTCTCCTTGTCCACACCCCTCCCTCCTGCTGCAGGGCCTGCTGGGATGCTGCCCCTGCAGGTGGGAGAGGCAGGAACAGGCCCTGGCCCAAGTCAGACGCCCCTGCTGGGTGACCTTGGGCAGGCTCAGTGTCCCTAATGCCTCTTCACCGTCCCTGGGGCTTGGTAGGACCCCGCTTCCTGGTCTTTCCCACTCTCCCACCACCTCTGGGTTCGGAGGGGAGCAGGGACCTCTCCAGGTCTCCCCCTGGCCCAGCTCCGTGGTCGTCCCACCAGGCCCAGGGCCGGCATTATTTATAACAACGGTGAAGCAGGACCTGCTGCAGCGGGAAACCCACCAGAGACGCCGCGCTCCCCGCTAAATGTCACGCGGCGTTTATAGTACGTGACATTTAGGAAATCACCACTCACAGCCGTGCGTCCCCCCTTAAATGCTACCATGAGGATTAACTAACATGGCGGCATAAATAACACTCCTGCCCGCCCCACGCTGAGGCGGGGGTGACTGGGGGTCCTGAGTTAGGGGGTCTGCACCAAGAGTCTGAGCAACTCCCCTGGAGGCGCCTTGCCAGGGTAGACGCTCCAAAGAGCCTCACGGGCCCGAGCACTGGGCCAGGGCTTCCCGCGGCCACAGCCCCCTGGTCCAAGCTGCCAGGTCCAGTCCCAGCTGTGCCTGTCCAGCTGGTGACCTTGGACGAGTACCTGGCTCTCCTGGTGGTTACCAGGGTCGTCCGTCTCCAGCTTCCCACACACTGCGGTCTGCTTGGGTTCTTTCTGTTTTTTT